TTAAATTTCATGGTTAAACAGTACATGTTAAAATCTAAGCTCAGCTCGGCAGTGACCTAAAATACATAATATAATTTTACTTACCGAAAAAAATGAAGTGGAGACTCCCTGGACGCTCTTTTGGTGCAATTAATGCCACAGCAAGTCATTTTGTCCAACAATTGCACAAAAAATATCCAAAAAGAATACACAAACACAGAGACTCAAAATCCCGGAGCAGTTTCCAAGCCAGACCGAGGCTCTACTGAGGCCTTTCCACGGATCTAGCTTTGTGGTCACGTGGGTCGGATGCTCATTAATTATACAGAATTTTAGGCTTTTAATACACTTAAACAGAAGAGTGAGAAAAAAATTCACCCCCTCAGAGTTGTCATGAGTGTAAACTAGATAATTTAAACAAAAAACATGTTTTGGTACCAGGCTGTAAACATGTTTATTTCTGCTGTGAAATTGGTATTTTTAACATGGGAGTCAATGAGGATTTGCTCGCTTCTGACACCAGCCCCCAGTGGATGAGGGTGGAACTGCAATTTTTGGTACTTCCGGGTTGGCCTCAATTTTTGAGCTGCATTGTGGGGGCTTGGTGCTGCACACAAACAGCTGGTGTGATCAGCTCTGAAAAGCCTTGATCACAATTTGCAGATCACATTTATTTTTCACGGAGATGGGCTGTGGATTCCTCTTCCTTCGGCATACTAGGAATCGAAATAAAAAATGCTGAGCGATTCCGGAAAAAATTAACATTTGGAACCGGTTCCAATCGATTCTCGATGCCCAACCCTACTGAGCAGTAGAGTGGGTATTGTAATAGAAGCAGCAGTGGGTTACCCGGGCAGGATTTCTGGCCCTCCAGACAGAACCTTACAGTAACGCCAGTGGGCACAAGTTACCAAGGACACACGTTTATTATCACAACTCGATAATAAGACTTCTCCAGCGAGTCTTCTTGTGGAACCCGGCTGCTGCCTCCTACTGGCCCTCTCACGCTCCTCCAACCCTCCCTTCCCTGTTAAAACAGCCAGTCAACTGGCAATACGTGAGATAAAACAGTCTGGTACCTAGCTGGCCCAGTCGGTGTGACCCCCACCCCGGGATCTGAGCTTTCGACGCCGTCCAATGTCTCGGGGATTGACTTCTGAGGATGACGGGTAGATCCTGCAGCTCTTGTCCACCTGCCAAGTGTTGTTGCGGCAAATGTTGTCAGCGTCTTAGCTCCCAACTATTCCTGCCCTCGCTACATAAAGGAGGCGATTAGCCTCCTCTCATAGCGCTGGAACACTAACATCCTACTCATCTGTCTTCACCACCGGCAGCCCTAAACGACTGCGAGCGATTCCACCTCACAGGACAGGGTGCCATGATGACAGGTCGACCAGACACACCTTCCAGTAGATCAGCTGTCCTTTTATAATTTCTGACGCCATCACACCAAACAAGCATCTGCTGGTATCAAGTCACCATGCCCCAGGGTCTATCAAGTCCCATCCTCTACCCTTAGTATTTATACAAGTTCAGAGAGCCTTTAAGATACAGACATTAGCTCATCAAAGCTGAGATCTGCATCAGTGAAAAGGGCAGGTTGTCCTGACATCAGAATAAACAAACATATTCTTTAGATTACAATTCTGCTACATCTATTAAGGATATGCCACTGTTCTTTATCACATCTAAGTAAATTAGATGTCATAATTTGCTGTTTGTTGAAAGCAAAAGTAGTCTAAGCCAAAGTTATAAAAGGGATGATATGAAATGTTCTCCTATCTACATGTGCTGCATGAGGTAAAACTTGAAAAATGAGAATATGGTGCAAAAATCCATTTGTATCAGTAATCCAGTTTAGACTGAGAGACCATCTAAAGGCTCAGGAACCCGTTGCAGGTGTTCTGGATTCATTAGCTGATTAGATTGTGAGACTTTGAGTCTAGGATATTAAATCTTTTCACAATAGGGAGCCTAAGTAAAACCGGGTGGAACACAGAGGTCTCCGAGAGCTCCACAAGCCGGCAGCCGCACAGCAGACAAGCGCCGCTGTGATCTGAGATGCGCAGAGCTGCCGCTGGGGAGAACCGGGTGGAAAGGTTTCCATCCCAGAGCTCCACAAGCCAGCAGCCCGCGCAGCACACAGAAGCCACGATCAGAGATGCGCTGGGCTGCGGGGAGGGGAGAACCGGGTGGAAAACGTCGGTCTCCCGAGAGCTCCACAAGCCGATAGTCGGAACCCAGCTCCGCCCACATGTTATATTTCAACTCATTTTCTAAAGTGCAGCATTATGTTAAATTCACTGGGTTTTACCCTATTACATTTAAATTTCATGGTTAAACAGTACATGTTAAAATCTAAGCTCAGCTCGGCAGTGACCTAAAATACATAAATATAATTTTACCTACCGATAAAAATGAAGCGGAGACTCCTTGGACGCTCTATTAGTGCAATTAATGCCACAGCAAGTCATTTTGTCCAACAATTGCACAAATAATATCCAAAAAAGAATACACAAACACAGAGACTCAAAATCTCGGAGCAGTTTCCAAGCCAGGCCGAGGCTCTACTGAGGCCTTTCCACGGAGCTAGCTCTGTGGTCACGTGGGTCTGATGCTCATTAATTATACAGAATTTTAGGCTTTTAATACACTTAAACAGAAGAGTGAGAAAAAATCACCCCCTCAGAGTTGTCATGAGTATAAACTAGATCATTTAAACAAAAAACATGTTTTGGTACCAGGCTGTAAACATGTTTATTTCTGCTGTGATATTGGTATTTTTAACATGGGAGTTGATGAGGATTTGCTCGCTTCTGACACCAGCCCCCAGCGGATGAGGGTGGAACTGCAATTTTTGGTACCTCCGGGTTGAGACCAATTTCTGAGCCGCATTGTGGGGGCTTGTGTCCCACAGCAGCGGAGCACCAGACTCGGTGGGGGGGGGGGGGGGGGGGGGTGCTCGCGGAGTTGTCTCTATTCCGCTGAATGTGCGTGCGGGAAGTGGGGGCATGTCTGCCCAAGATGGGCAAGTGGCCCACCAGGACAGTGCCAGATAGGCCAGTCCACCCCTGCTAATGTCTCCATGATTTAGCTTCTGTCCACCCAGTTTTTTCCCCTTTGTTTCTGTCTGTTTCTACAACAACCTTTTCTCTGTACTATTTTGTTGGCCACAAAGTTACAATCCCTGTTTATAAGTTTGGTTACCTAAATTAGAGCCCTGCACTGAAGCCCTAGGCCCTCGGGTCGGGCTTCGGGCCTACGACTGTGTAATTACCTCGGACACGGGCCGGGCCGGGCGCCTTTATTTTTATTCGAAATCATTAAAAAAATTAAAACACTTAAACACAGCAGTAGAGCCCTGTGCGGGACTGTTTTCTTCATCCCGCTCCGCTCCCGCTGAATTTCTGACCATTACAGCCTGCAACCGCAACGTGTGTGTTACACTCCCGCCCGCACCTGCAGCGTGCATGTCTACTCCCGCCCGCACCTGCAGCGTGCATGTCTACTCCCGCCCGCACCTGCAGCGTGCATGTCTACTCCCGCCCGCACCTGCAGCGTGCATGTCTACTCCCGCCCGCAACCGCAAAACTCGGAGAAATTATTACCTCACAATAAAAGAGATGTATTGAGTTTGCGTCCTCAACATGTCATTTTATAGGTTATCCGCTTTCACAGCAGTGCTGCGCTCCATTTCAATCAGGCTGTACAGCAGGATTTCCCCTCGTAGCGATATTTTCTCTAACTCTGATTGCTTCATGCTATAGATCGTTGGAAAGCTGCTTTTATGTACTTTTAGGAACCGTTGGAATTATTTGAATCTGATCAACCATTCAAAAGTTATAAAACGAGCATGTTGGATGACAAACTCGCACGTCTCTGAATCTGTTTTGTGATTCGTTGCGCTCAAGACAGGGAATCCCGGTGGCTACCGTAATGTATTGTATATGCACGGAAAGCCCCATTTTTAATCTTTTCAGCACTTTTGGAATTTTAATGATATCTTGAACTAGAGCAGGGATCGGCAACCCGCGGCTCTTCCATCCATCTGCCGATGTGCTTGTAAAATAATGAATGGATATTTAAATAAAATGCTTTATATTTTACTGAATTAATTTTATATCTGTAAGTCAATTCTATGTGAAGATTGTCTGCGTAAACCTGAACAGTTCCAACCCAGTCTTACTGTGAGACCGTGTTGGGTCACGCTTGTGCGTAATCATATGCGCTCATGAGCTGAAGAGGATGTGAGATTCTGGGCTTCTCCTCAGACGGCTCCTGGATGTGTCGCACATTGGAGACAGGAACAAGCGCTATTCAGCCAAAGTTTCATAATCAGGGAACATTTTCTAAGTGACAAGTCTCTCTGAGAGACAGGGTTTGGAAAACACTCGCTTCAGTGGGAAGCTTCCCGCATGCGCTTCTGCGACGCTCGGATCCTGCACATCTTTTAACACATTGGTCAGGATTGACGCACTTTGTTTTCATTTAGTTGGTTAAAAAAAGCCGGGCTTGGGCTCGGGCCGGGCCAGAGAATCCTGAAAACCTTTTCGGGCCGGGTCGGGCTGGGGCTCCACCCCCTCGGGCCGGGCCGGACACGGGCTCAGATTTTAGGCCCGTGCAGGGCTCTAACCTAAATTAAATGCGACAATTCACTGATAACTGTTTCCCAAGAAAGGTTTTGAGGAGGCACTGAGAGCTATGAATACGAAAACAAAATGTTGAGCGCTCTGATGCACCATTGTTCCTTTTTGTGGCCACATTTGACATTTCCCTTCTGGAAAAAGCCTAAAAAAAGCTTTTGGACATCATACCTGAAGTTTCAGCGTATCTGAAACAAAAACAAGTATAAATGTTATTGTGTGTAAGTAGCCTAGCCTGCCAGACTCGTCCTCTGTTTAATTCTGCACAGAGAGGAGTCTGGCAGGCCAGGCTAGTGTGTAAGATGTTGTGCAATGCAAAATTTGAAATGTATGTTAGTTTTAGAAGAAAGCCTAAAAAATTGTCTCTTTGTTTTTCAGTTTGCAATTGGATCTCTCATGGACGACTATCTGGGTGAGTGTTAATCTAGACCACATTTCATGGTTCTGCTTGCTGGTTTCCTCATTAGACCTGCATAAAAACATTCTTCTCAATAAAAATATGTGGTTCGTTTATAGTGCATGGAAAGATGTATTTTACTCAGTGCACACTTTTACTTTTCTGTGAATCACTGGTTAATAAACCCACCTTTTTGTTTAATTTTCAGGTCTTGTGAGCTGATTTGCCTCTGGAGCACATCAGTCTTCTTTTACAATATTTTTCTACACTTCATAGCTACTTTTTCCAGTTTTTTTTAACTGGTGTAAAAAACCTAAAAATAAACGTGTTTATGGTAATCAGTATATAGATCATCTCATGAGTGATAGTTTATTTTATGGAGAAGATGTACTTGCATATGTCCATTTATATTGTTTTTATATCTAAACTGTAATAAAGTTTGTCATTTGAATATGTTTGTGTCTTTGAGGTTTGATCCACCAGAGCAGAGCAACAGCAGCCCGCTACAGCAGACTAACGAAAGGCTAAATAATGTTTGGAAACGTGGCAAAATCTGGCGGCTTTAAACAAACTGTGAACGTGGATATTTCAGGGACGCGCACGTTTAACGACCGTAAATACGTCAGTGGCGCGCGCCCTCGTTCTTTCTTTCTCTCTTCCTGAAGATGGCGGCAGGGGTGAGTAAGATGGAGAAATGGCCAGTCATGGAGCTTTTATTCAGATTTGCTGCTACAATCCGACTGAAATCAGAGCCATCTGCGCACTGACGGCGTCAGTTCCTAACTGAACTGCAGCATCCAGCTGTCTGCAGGCTGTTTTAGGGCCTATTTACTAAAATATGATGGACCGTTGAGCCTGAGTTAGCTTTTGCTATTCTTAATTCATTGAGATTGCTAACAGGGTTGTGCCACGTTATCGTTCACTCTTAAGAGATTTCCGAGTCATTCTTTTACAGTTTCAGTTTTCCCACCGATGCTAACGCAAATGTAGGCCCAAGTTCGGTCTGTTTTTATTTCAGAATGCTCTAGAACAGTTTATTACCCGAGTCGGTAGCTAGTCTGCGTGTAAATCAAGCTGAAAGCCACAAGAACAAAACCCCATTCTTCATAAGTGTGGGTAAAACCATTTATCACCAGTGAATTAAACCAGACAAATGGTGCAAACTCCTCCTTACGAAATGCTCACTCTCAGCGGAAGACTTGATTAATTAACCAGAAACATTCCTAACCAGATCCTAGTTGCTATTGTTGTCCCAGAGTGACACGTATGGTAAAGATCCCAGCTGATCCATATCTGCTCTATGCATCAGTGCAAGGCAGCTTTTTAAATTTTGGATGCTGTTAAGTTCATTTCTGTTGTTAGTTAGAAACAGCATTTTTTAACTAAACCTATCCCCCTTCGAAGAATCCATGTAGTTAATATATGCCCTCTCCTTTCAGACTTTATACACATATCCAGAGAACTGGCGGGCCTTCAAGGCCCAGATTGCAGCCCAATACAGTGGTGCTCGCCTCAAAGTAGCCAGCAGCCCTCCTGCCTTCACCTTCGGGCAGACAAACCGCACCCCAGCCTTCCTCAACAACTTCCCTTTAGGCAAGGTGAGTAAAAACTTGTTTCCCTCGTTGTATAAAAACTGGCCAACAACTCTCAGTTGTTGCTCCTTGTATACGTACGAAATGGTTTCTTTAAAATGGATTTTTCTTGGCGACATTGTTTAATTCACACGTTTGTCCAGGTTTTAGCTTCTGTGCCTTCAAACTATTCTAAACCTAAGTTCTGTCCTTGTTTACAGGTGCCAGCCTACCAGGGGGATGACGGGTTCTGTCTGTTTGAGAGTAATGCCATTGCTCACTACCGTAAGTCTTACTTTAAATTAAAAGGTTACCGTTGTATAAGTCCTTTTCACACATGAACTCTAGACATTTGGGTGAATGTGCAAATCATTTGGGATCACTTTTAAAAGTTCTACAAAATTAATTAGGAAGTGTTCCTTGAGACTTTGGTGTTTGGATTTTTTGCTGATCCTCTTAGTGTGTCTTGAAATAAGATGGAAAGGCCAATTTCAAACATTTTTCTTTTATTCCTACAAGCTGATACCTTTTTCAGAGGGTGTAGAACCTTTAAAGAAGAGTGTACATGTGAGTAACTGGCAAATATTTTGCTCTGTAATTCCAGTGAGCAATGAGGCCCTGCGTGGTGCCACGCCTCAGGCAGCTGCTCAGGTTCTGCAGTGGGTGAGCTTTGCTGACTCTGAGATCATCCCTCCAGCCAGCGCGTGGGTCTTCCCCACTCTGGGAATCATGCAGTTCAACAAGCAGGTATGCAGATCTGCAGTTCTATAATTAAACTGTGATTTAGCGTAAAGCTGGGCGGACAATGTGCGACTTTTTCACTCGTAGCACTCGGCTTCAGCTCGAACTGTACGACTTCCTCGCAGGGCAGATCTCACGAGTCATGTGCTCACACTGTACGTCTGGTAGCAACACGTCGGACCTAAAAATATGCTAAAAATAGCAGTTTTTACTCAACACGTCAGACTTTTTTGTCTTGCCTGTTGTCCTTCGGGAGTGCTGCAGGAGGACACACAGGGATTTATGGGGGTTGGATGAGGAAAACGAAATAAATTTAATCTGTGTTTTGTGATCGGTTTAATTTGACATGAACACGACAAACACGCTTTCTTGACAATCCTTGTCATTATATGTAAAAAAAAAAACATGTTGAAATAAAAACTAACATGTGTTATTAGGGAAATGGCGGGCGAGCGATGTTGATGCATGATTGCTCATGCGCCTTGAGCGGTTCTGGTACTTTTTGGGTCACAGCCGCTCGCTGCGCCGCTTCAACCCTCACGTGGAACGAGCAAAATATCAAACACTCCAGGAGTCCATGCAAGCTCATGATTGCTGATCGGTAGCTGGTCACGTGGTGTTGATCGCCTCTCGTAACCCCCTGTACACTACACGACGACCAGCGCAACACTCGCCCCGATCTTGTGGATTCTCGCACGAGTGGAAAATCTGCTCAAAAAAGTGAAAAAGTTGCAGTGTACGCCCGGCTTAAGCTGCAGGCTGGAGTTTATCATATTTGACTCCAGTGGTTTGTTTTTGCCTAAAGTTAACTGTCTCTTTGGTCCATACAGGCAACTGAGCAGGCCAAGGAGGACATCAAGAAGGTCCTCGGGTTGCTGAACCAACATCTGAACACCCGCACGTTCCTTGTAGGGGAGCGCGTCAGCCTAGCAGACATAACTGTGGCCTGCTCCATGGTCTGGCTCTACAAACAGGTTTGATGTTCACAAAGCACCCAATCACACACTCCTGATCTCTAATATTTAATTCGGGAAGAGCTGAAACCTCTCTGCTCTGTAGGTCTTGGAACCTTCCTTCCGTCAGCCATATCCCAACGTGACCCGCTGGTTTGTCACCTGTGTAAACCAGCCCCAGTTCAAGGCAGTTCTCGGAGAAGTCAAGCTGTGTGAGAAGATGGCTCAGTTTGATGGTGAGTCATCAACAGTGAGTTCAGAATAAACTCGTAATCAAAGGATGTCAGAAGGACCTGCACTGCGAGTTGAAACTTAACGCAGATATCAGTTTGGTCTTACAGATCTGTAGTATGACTTAAGATGTTCTTATTTGTCCAGTAAAAATAAATCACTAATAGTCTACCGTCCTTGTTCATAGGTGGTTTTAAATAACTGATTTAAGAGTAGATAACTGTTCTTCTGACTAGCTAAGAAGTTTGCTGAGATGCAGCCAAAGAAAGAGGCCCCCGCCAAGAAGGAAAAGGCAGCGAAGGAGGCAGCCAAACCCCAGGAGAAGAAAGAAAAGAAAAAGGAGGAGAAGAAGCCTGATCCTGAGGAGGAGATGGATGACTGTGATGCTGTTTTGGCTGCAGAGCCCAAAGCAAAGGATCCCTTTGCACATCTGCCAAAGAGGTAAAGATTTGTAGTGAGCAGCGCCATCAGAAGTTCTAGTTTTACATATGGGTGGTGTATTACAGAAATGTGCTTAGTTTAATTGGATGCATATATTAATCTGAAAATGTCTATGGAATCTAGTGCATTTTGGGTATTTGATGTGTTATTGAGTCTTTGATTCATAGACTGACAGTTTTAAAACAAAGTAGTTAATTTCAGGTGATGAATGTCCCCTGTCTTTGGGCAAGGCGGTGTCCATTCATGACACAAAGTCTTAATCTGACAGGGGAAGAGAATGAGGGCCATATTCATCCCAGTCATCTCTGTTTTAGTGAGAATAAAGGCTGGTTCATAGTGAGCCCACATTTCTCCTTGATCTCAAGAGCAGCTCGACTTATGGAGGAGCTGAAAATAAATTCAGAAGATGGTGAAAAGGAGATCTTTAGAAACGCTAATGATGGAAAGGAAACTAAAACCTAAACACATTAATCCTCTCCAACAGCACATTTGTGACCTGTTATATATACATATTTTTCTCTAGCTCATTTGTCATGGACGAGTTCAAAAGAAAATATTCCAACGAGGACACCTTGACAGTAGCTCTTCCCCACTTCTGGGACAACTTTGACCGTGAGGGGTATTCCATCTGGTATTGTGTTTACAAATACCCAGAAGAACTCACACTTACCTTCAAGAGCTGCAACCTCATCACAGGTGAGTCAGATGGGCTGATTGTATGCGTTGGTGTAATGTGAAGATTAGGACTGCAGATAATGATTATTTTAATCTATTCTTATGCCACGGTAATAAGACAGTAGTAATCAATCAATTCATCAGATAAGCCTTTCTGTTTCCTTTGCTTTGGAAATCTGGTACCAACGTAACAGAGCAGTACTAGTTGTAGGAAAAACTAGCCAATAACCAGATTATTTCTATAACAGAGTTTATTGCATTCAGCTCTTTTTCATTTGCTGCCTGTTGACTCTGATGCATGTTCAGCTGAGGATGGATTTAGCCACTCTGGCAATTGAAGCCCATTCCTGAAACAAAAGAAATTTAGTTTACCTGCAAACAATGGTGATTGTTTTATCAACAAGACTAAATAAACTACAGAATAGTAAATGTCCATTTGATCACAAGTCTGATTTTGTCTTTGTTTTATTTTTATTTTTTTGTTCTTTTCTAAAACTGCTGCGTTCCAAACAAATGACTGGAAATTAAAAACATGCATGGGGTACTTAAAAAAAAGCTGACAAGCACATTTTAGTCTCATGCTGCCTTACATTAAAGCACAGAGGGGAAAAAAATAACGCACTTCTTTGCTTTTAGTGGTAGCTCCCGTTAGCGTAGCTGGAGATGCACCATTCATCTTCATTTAAACTAAATCACACACCTTGTCTCAGATCTGCAGCTGATGCCTAAAAGCACCTGGATGCTGTGTGCTGTGATCCTGATTCCTGGGATGTGGAAGTTGTGCTGTTGTGAACTGCTAACATTGTGCTAAGCTAGCGATCTTGTCCCATCAGCTTGAGTTTGAATAGTCCTACACTTTTGACATTTTCTCTGGATGTCTTCATTCCTTTTGCATTCACCCTGTTGCCTGCTCTTCTGTTTGATCTGTTGCAGAACAAGCATGCTTGTTTAATAACCGAAAGGTCACACTGGAAGGAGATTGTATAACCCAGAAGTAATAATTGTCGATTCTAAAAGGAAAAAAAAAATTATATATGTATATATATATTTTTTTCTTCTTTTTTTTCAACACTTTTTATTATTACTTCTGAGTTATACAATTTATATTTTTTTACAATTTTGTTTTGCAATCAATTCAATCGAATTTGAATATTTGTTTCAGCCTGAGTGAAGATATAAAGACATGATGGATTCTTGTGATTTGCAGTTGTGCTGAAGTTAAGAATGGTGTTAAGTGCTGTACATAAAAGTGCTTTAGAAATCACTGGTTACTTGATTCCACTGTGGTTTACTGACTGCTTCTTTTAGCCTCAAGTTTAACATCATGAATGTCCTTTTTTATTCCACTAACCCAAGACCTATGGTGTTAAAAACAAAGTATTGTATTGTGCTCCATGGTTTCTGCCTGTCAATCCCAAGGTAGTTGCACTGTAGAACATTGTTTTATTCTAAAAATAATTCTGTAGGGTAGACATCTCCCCTGTCTTTGGGCAAGGCAGTGTCCTGTGATGGCACTACGTCTTAATCTGACGGGGAAAGAAAAAGTTGGCCCAAATTCATCCCAGCCATGTCTGATTCAGTGAGTTTAGGCTGGTTCATACTGTGGTCACATCAGGCCCAAATGCCTAAATGTGTAGTCTTATTAACTGCCCACTAGTTGTGGTAACAAATGTTGATCTGATTGACTGTTAACTGCTGCTTACATAAGCTTTTCACCGTTGCCCAGTAAATCTCAGACTTTATGTTGGTATTCACACTGGATTTACTGGATTTACCTGTGAATTTCACAGGTATGTTCCAACGCCTGGACAAACTGAGGAAGAACGCCTTCGCCAGTGTCATCTTGTTTGGCACCAACAATGACAGCAGCATCTCTGGTATCTGGGTCTTCAGAGGCCAGGATCTGGCCTTCACTGTAAGTAAATGACAGGGTGGAGATTACGATGTTGTGATTAAATTTCATCAATTGGACTCCAAATTAGGGCTGGGTGATATATCGATATTTTTAAAACATCGATAAAAAAAATTTAAACAAGATACAAGATGACTTATGTCAATAAAACTGGTCAAACTGCTATGCTAGGTATTAGCCGCTATGCTAGCGACATGTTGCGCCGTCTCTAAGCGATACAATGTGTGTTCTCACAAGTTTGCTCAATCTGAGAGCCTTTGGGTAAATGTGCTGCTCTAAGTTTTGCATTTGGCGTCCTGGTTTTTCATTATTTGGGCACATTCAGCGCCAACGGAATTCTGTTTTTCTGTCCTGCTTGTGCGAAGCCAGAGAGACGAGCCAAACCCCTCCCTCCCCTGTGTAATCAGGAAACTTCTACGGATAGTCAGTGTGGCCAAACTACCTCAAACATATTGTATGGGTTTGAATAGTAAATTATAGGGTTAACGTTTTATTTTGAAGGCGAACTCGACGGGGGAGAATTGTTCCAGTTCCGTTTTTTTCTCCGCTGTTTGCTATGCTAGTAAATACTTCTATTGAAAAAGTTAAAGTTTGTAAGGCGTGGGTTTTGGCGACAGTAGCCCGAAAATAATACTCATAAAAGAGCAACCAGAGACTCTTGAGTCATTACAGTATAATCGCTGATATGAGCCAATACTGTTAGATTCCAGCCATGTATGCCCTGATAACTAAATGATAAATGACCCGTACGTGTATATCGCCTCACAGAATAAGGACCCCAAAGTGCTTTACACTACAGTGTATCATTCATCCATTCACACACATTCACACACTGAGGGTGATGAGCTACGATGTAGCCACAGCTGCCCTGGGGTGCACGGACAGTGAAGCTGCCGAGCACAGGTGCCACCGGACCAGCAGGCAAGGTGGTCTTGCCCAAGGACACAACAGCAGAATTCTCCGTCCGGAGCCGGGATCGAACCTGCAACCTTCCGATTACTGGACAGCCCGCTCAACCTGTTGAGCAGCAATAATAACTCCATGGTGCATGACCCATGTGATCTTCAGTAGATGCAATTACATCATGAATTTAATTTAACATGAGTTTTTTTTTCCTCTGGACAACAAAAAAAATATGGCCCACCTGTAGATGAAATTTAAATAATTTTAAATTAATTATAAATATATAATTAAAAAGTGCCTGTGGGACATTTGATACACCTCTAGCTCTCAACTGTGTGTGTGTGTGTGTGTGTGTGTGTGTGTGTGTGTGTGTGTGTGTGTGTGTGTGTGTGTGTGTGTGTGTGTGTGTGTGTGTGTGTGTGTGTGTGTGTGTGTGTGTGTGTGTGTGTGTGTGTGTGTGTGTGTGTGTGTGTGTGTGTGTGTGTGTGTGTGTGTGTGTGTGTGTGTGTGTGTGTGTGTGTGTGGTGCGTGCGTGCGTGCTAGCAGACGGCTGTACCAGTGTTTCTAAAGCTAACACTGGTAGACAATAGGCACTAAGGTTAAACTTTGACAAGAATCAATAAATTTGTATGCATTTAATCTACTGATTTATGTATACAATTTCTCAAGACAGCTTTAAGTTGGTTAACTTGTAAATATTTTACAGGAGGAAAAATATCGATGTATATCGGAATTCAGCGAAAAGAAATCGAGATGAGTTTTGGTCCATATTGCCCAGCCCTACTCCAAATTATGCACTATCACACACTGCATACATTAAATTCTTTAATGAAAGATTCTGCATTCAATAAAAAAATAACTATAGATAGAGGAAACAAAACCAAACTAGTCGCACAAAGTTCATTTGGAGTTCGTTTTGTGTTATTATAAAACTCTTTAAACAACTAAGTAGCTAAGTATACTAGGTCTTATTCAAATGTGTTAGAGTGTACTGATCAGACCTCCCCTGTCTTTGGGCAAGACAGTGTCCACACATGGCACTAAGTCTTAATCTGACAGGGGAAGAGAAAGTAAAGGCCATATTCATCCCAGTCTACTCTGTCTGAGTGAGTAAAGGCTGGTTCATGCTGTGGCCACAAAGCTAAGTTTTGCAGCATCACAGTGTTCTTATATCAGGGTATGAATGTTACCCATTACACCTGTGGGCAGATTAACAGTTGAAAAGTTTAAAATCAAAGTGTGTTCATCTTGTGCGTTAGTCTGTCTGCTGTGTTTTTAGTTCAACTGAATAAAAGTGAACCACGGCAGCAGGTCATGTGATGTTCTGATTAAATACAGCGTTTCTATCAATCCCATATCTATTACAATGACTGTCTGTAAGAGTCTTCAATACATTGTCTATTTTTCATGAGGTGCGTTTTATTGTTGGAACTTCAGGGTCATTTCTGGGAGGGAGAAATTGACCGGGAGATGCAATGTCCCGGTCCTCTCTGGGCGATTCCGGGAAAAATTAAATGTTGGAACCGGTTCCAATCGATGCTTGATGCCCAACCCTAGCAGTGAGTGATGTCACTGATCAGCACCAAAAGAACATTAAAACCATGTATTCTCTCAAAGTAAATTCATACATTCAGAGGGTAAAAGCAGCTGTGTGATGTAAAGTGTGGCATTCAATGACCAGAAGAAGCTCAGTTTTTTACAGTGCTCTGTGCGACAAAGCCCTGTGAAATAAGTCACAGTGGAGGAATTGCCCTGTTTTCTGGTGTTGGGAGTTAAATTTTAAGCACAATCGGTGCTCATCGTCTTTCGCTTTCATTTTGCTCACTAGTAACTTCTAATTTTACTACTGTTGGTTGCTGATGACATTTCCTACTGAGTTGCAACCAATCACTGAATTAACCAAAAGTTCGTCCAGCTACTCCTCTGGGCCATTCAGAGTACCTATCCCTGATCAGGTACTCTAGAAAATGGCTGTTCAGCCGGCCCAGTCAAGTGGAGATGCGCGCATGTCAGGAAGTTCCTATAAATTTACCCTAATGTTCTGATGATGGAAACGCACCTCATGTCACATTTGGTTGTGAATCGTATCATGGACCTTCTACACCCCACAAGACCACGTGAAATCTGATAATGGTGGTAAACATCTCATCTCACTTAGGGTTATTCACTCTGATGTAAACGGTTTCTCCTATTCTCTTTCCAGCTATCTGATGACTGGCAGATTGACTACGAGTCATATGAGTGGCGGAAGCTGGATCCAAACAGTGAGGAGTGCAAGACCATGGTAAAGGAGTACTTTGCCTGGGAAGGAGAGTTTAAGCATGTGGGTAAATCCTTCAACCAGGGCAAGATCTTCAAGTAAACGGACACCAAGGCATTGGAACTAAAGCACTCGTGCCCCTCCTCTTCTACACGTAACTACAGACTTTCAGCCACATGTGCTTACTTTGCTGCAAAAATGACTCTAAATGACAGTGTTTGAAGACAAGTGAAAAATGTCTCAATGACCCAACTGGTTTTCTGTTTTGACCTGCGAAATAAAGCGTTTTCCTCAACACCATGCAAGTCTTTTCTGTTGGTACAATATTGTCGGTACTAATTCGAACGACCCAAAAACACTTGGATTATATCTGATTGAATCAAAAATGTCTGATATAAGTCCGTTAGGGTTCACATTTTTGCAACTAATGGTAAAAAAAAGGTGTCATTTATTTTTTCATACTGTTATTGGCTCTTGTCTGAGTAATATCACTTGATCAAGCCTTTCATACATTCCACACTAAGAAATGGGTAAAAGTATGTATGATTTGTGCTGATATCGTATCTGATGTCAGTATCGGTCAATACTGAAGGCTGCAATATCGGTATATTATTGGTAGGGAAAGTTGTATTGGGACATCCCTAGTCGGTACAACTATGTATTGTTTTGGTTCGTCATTAATGGATCCCCCTAGGGAGGATTAGGAAAAACGGTTTGTAGAGAATGTTTCTGGTGCAGGTATACCTTCCTTAGAGCCAGGCACCAGTATTGCCTGAAGAGGGAGTTGGGGTCTTGCACCTAGATGTATGCTCTACTCGTCTGTGATCAGGAGACTGGATTATATATTGGTTTAGCTAAATATTTTAAGAGATTCCACTCTTTAATTTTGAACTGCTAAAAATGCAAAAACACTGCTCTGAGATCCTATTAATGTAAAGTTCCTTCCAAAATGCTACCAGTCCAGTGTATGGCCTGGTCATGGATTTAGTGTCTCAGAAGAAGCTCCTTATATAAACATGCCATCTAAATTTTTGTTTAGGAAAATCTTTTTGGTGAGACTAATGAATATGTGGAAACTGCAGCTTGACACTAGTTCTACAGCAGCAGCTACTTTGTTTTAATTCACATCAACTGTTGAGCAGAAATGGTTTTTATTATTTGGAATGTAGGTTTCTCAGTGCTGCAATCTTCAAATTCTACAGTACAAACCAGAAACCCTCTGATAAACTTTGCTAGTTTCTACTCTATTAACATACACTCACCTAAATGATTATTAGAAACACCTGTTCAACTTCTCCTTAATGCAATTATCTAATCAATCACATGGCAGTTGCTTCAATGCATTTAGGGGTGTGGTCCTGGTCAAGAGAATCTCCTGAACTCCAAACTGAATGTCAGAATGGGAGAGAGAGGTGATTTAAGCAATCTTGATCGTGGCATGGTTGATGGCGCCAGACGGGCCCGTCTTGAGTATTTCATAATCTGCTCAGTTACTGGGATTTTCACCCACAACCATCTCTAGGGTTTACAAAGAATGGTGTGAAAGGGGAAAAACATCCAGTATGCGGCAGTCCTGTGTGCGAAAATGCCTTGTTGATGCTAGAGGTGAGAGGAGAATGGGCCAACTCATTCAAGCTGATAGAAGAGCAACTTTGACTGAAACAACCACTCATTACAACCGAGGAATGCAGCAAAGCATTTGTGAAGCCACAACACGCACAACCTTGAGACGGATGGGCTACAACAGCAGAAGACCCCACCGGGTACCAGTCATCTAGCACTACAAATAGGAAAAAGGCTACAATTGAAACAAACTCATCAAAGTTGGACAGTTGAAGACTGGAAAAATGTTGCCTGGTCTGACGAGTCTCGATTTCTGTTGAGACATTCAAATGGTAGAGTTAAAATTTGGCATAAACGGAATGAGAACATGGATCCATCATGCCTTCTTACCACTGTGCAGGCTGGTGGCGGTGGTGTAATGGTGTGGGGGATGTTTTCTTGGCACTCTTTAGGCCCCGTAGTGCCAATTGGGCATGGTTTAAATGCCACAGGCTACCTGAGCATTGTTTCTGACCATGTCCATCCCTTCATGACCACCATGTACCCATCCTCTGATGGCTACTTCCAGCAGGATAATGCTCCATGTCATAAAGCTCCAATCATTTCAAATTGGTTTGTTGAACATGTCAATGAGTTCACTGTACTACAACGGCCCCCACAGTCACCAGATCTCAACCAAATAGAGCATCTTTGGGATGTAGTGGAGCGGGAACTTCGTGCCCTGGATGTGCATCCCACAAATCTCCATCAACTGCAAGATGCTGTCCAATCAATATGGGCCAACATTTCTAAAGAATGCTTTCAGCACCTTGTTGAATCAATGCCTCACATAATTAAGGCAGTTCTGAAGGCGGAAGGGGGTTAAACACCGTATTAGTATGGTGTTCCTAATAATCCTTAGGTGAGTGCATGATGTAGTGTCCAGTCTTAGAACAGCCCACACACACATCAGGTTTTGTTGTACTACACTAACACCCCTAGGGGGCAGCCCAGGACTTAGATCTAGAGCAGGCTGAGTGACGCACATCCAAAAGAAATTGTTTTTCTTTATGCAGGTCAGAATGTGGTTTGCTTGAAAGTATAGGTTCTTGTTTTAATTTGAAGGAAATGCCTGGAATTGTGAAAATGACTCACTGTTCCTTGATATGAAACAGAAAACTTTACTAAAGTTCTCGTATAGACTAAAACCTACAGATCTGGGTGGGGAAATTCATTTTCTCCTTTTTGAATATTAAAACCCCCAGCAGTAATTAGTAGACAAACTCTGAGTGATGCTGTGGTCTTTGAGTTTTGACTTTTATAGTTACATCTGCAGTTCTGATCTTTTATTTTTATTTTCTGTCTTTGAAGGGCAGATTTAAAAACTCATGATCTGACCACACCCTACCCAAAAGCTAAAATGAATTGTTTCAGAACCTACTTCTGCAAATTCTCGTCTATTTTGGAGGAAGAAGAAAAAACTTATCCGATTAGTACAACATCATTTCCATGGTTTTGTTTATCCTTGACTGAGCAAATGTCCACGTTAAAGCTTTTGTGCAGACTTCTGATGCATATAAACATGGGATGCGATGCTGGGCAAACAGAGGTTTGTTTTATCCGACACGCCCAACAAACCAAATGGAAAAATTTATTTGTTATGAACCGTTCCCACACCTGCTTCCGGGCTTTTCTTGTTCTTTTGGTGAAATGCTCCTTTGTTGTGCATAGCTGCAGGTAAAACGGAACACCTGGACCAGCGCGCACAACAAATTCAAGTTTACAAAGCAAATCTTTTGAGTGTCACTTCTAAAGTTGAGGAACTTACTAAACACATACGTCTGTAGATTCACCTCTAGCTGCTAAAGTCTAAAATGTATGACCCATTGGGTGGCTTTTCTGTCTGAATCAGAGCTCCACATGCACACGATAAATGCTTGAGGGAGGACTTGCGTCTCAGAGTGAGTCAGATTGGTCATTTTTTCCACCTTACTAAGCATGATTCAAGATAATTTGGGCGCAAGCATCTCCTACTTAGAGAGTTGAATCAGGGAAGCCATTTTAGTTTGTTCTGTGGCCTCATGGAAATCAGAAAATGGAAATGTTCCCACAAGCGCCCAAGTCCTTGAACACATGACTCACCCATCCTGTGGATCAGTGTGGAAGAGGGCTGTAACTTGAGCAAACAACTTCGCCTTCACCCACAGTCCTGCAGCAGTTCCAACAATGCTGCAGGATAACCTTTCAACGGCTCGAAGATCTGCGTAACAAAGCTCGTTCTTCATGCTATCAAATATGAAGTTTATCGGAGAAAAACTCATGAAATGTTTATCTTATTTCCTAGCAGCATTCTGAAGCTGGATGCAGAACCACATCCATATAGGTTTCCTCCTGGTTCTTGTTTGAATTATAGGAACTTCACAGTTGAAAAGATTAAAGCAAAAGACAAGAACAATAAAGCAATCTTATGCCAACAGCAGTGTTTTTGTTCTGTGTTCCAGTTCTGCCAACTGTCCTTCTCTGGGTCCTATTTTGTTTTGGCCACACACCCACTACTTACTCCTTCCACCACTGCTGTCTGGACATTTTTCTGTGTCCTTCCAGGAGGACGGTGGTGGTGTGGGGGGTCTTAAATGTAGTTGCAGCAGTGAGGAGCCCTGAACACAGAGAGAGGCTGTATTGTTTCACCACACAAGCACCCTGTGTGGCTGTTAGCTCCTCAGTAGGAGCTTTAGGCATGGTGTGCATATGCCGAGCATCTGGTCGTGCAAGACACATCTGGAAAAGGGTGAGGAAGCTGATGGAACAACAATGTAAAAACAGAAGGAGGGCGTGGGGGGATGCAGAAAATTCATTTTTTCATCCTAAAAATTTTAATATATATTTACACGATAGAAATGTGGATTAGTTAATTATGGCTTTACAATAATGTCATCATAAAGGCTTTCAACGTTTCCATTTGTGTGTGTGTGTTTCTTTTGCAGCTGGCTATAATTTCTTACATTTATTTCTTTGGATTAGGGCCGTCCCCTCATAGCTTGGCTAAAATGTCAAGGCCTGCAACTCCATTTATGTACAATCCTGCGTCAATAATTTAGTATAATATAATAAAGTCTATGGTTTAATACGTTTTATGTCTATTTTCCTTTCTTGTAGCTAAAAACCTCAACATGCTGTGTTTTGCTCAGAAATCCATCAGAAAAATGTCTAATTTCTCATTGTGGCCTGCAAAATAACAATTAAAAGGAAGAAAGTGTTTTCCCAAAGGAATGTTAGGACTCCCACACAGCTTTGTGGAAGTGAGTCATCATGGAAAATATAAGAGTCCCAATGTTGTCAGTGGGTTTGAGGATCGTCTCTACGCAGACTCAAAAACATGGATGCAAAAACCACACGAGTACGGTCCCACCCTCAGACATTTAAGAGGATTTAGTTAGCTTTGAGTCCTTCTTAGACTCAGAAAAAAACTGCAAAGTGTTTTTTTTAAAAGTCAACATGGTCAGGGCTGCTTCATCTCCTGTTGTGGTTGAGACACGGCCATGGGCAGGAATGCTACACCGAGGTAAACTCAGCATGTGATGGTGCTAGCAAAGACAAATGACCTTGAGCGTTTCTTCCCATCAGGGCATTTAAAGGGTGTGAGCATTAACATGTTCTTTCTGGCTCTGAAACATACCAAAGTAACTCAGCACCGGAATGGAATGAAAGAGGTCAAAGGTGAGCCTACTGAGGGGAAAACAGCAGAAGCAGGCAAGGAG